CCACTGCTGTGTAATCCTCTCCCATGGCTGCTCTCCAAGGCAGGTGAAGAGGTCTGACTATGCTGCCCTCTGAATGTTTCAAATGTGTGAAGTGGTGGGTGGGACCTGGACAGGGCGGCTAAGACATGCACACAGCACCAAGGCGCAAGGCTCCCCTCCTCTAACCACCCCGCCCAGAGTCTCTTCACGAGGAGCCCCGTGCCCTGGACATGGTGGTCACTTTCCTGGAAGTGCCGATCTCTTCTGATGAGCGGAGAGGTTTGCAGCCAAGGGCTGGCTCTCAGGAACGTGTCAACCCAGGGGAAAGACTGGGTGCAAACGCCAGCATGGAAGGGATTTTCCTGTTGGTGAGTAACACGTGGTCAGGTCAAGGCAACAGATGTGGCGGGGGTCAATGGGAAGGAGGGTGTGCGGCTTCTCTTTTCCTTCCCCCCTTAAGACATGGATTGAGACGGCGAAACAGAGAGACAGAGACTGAGAAACGGAGAGAACTAGGAAGACTGAGAGGCAGAGAGAGCAAAAGAGACACACACTCACACACACACAACCAAGATATAACTTAAGTGATAGGAAGTTGACAAGAGGAGCCTGGTGGCAGAGCGGTTATGACTTGGGCTGCAATATGTAAAGCCAGCTGTTCAAAACCACCTGCTGCTCTGGGGGAGAAAGACGAGGCTTCCTACTCCCCTAAAGAGTTACAGTCTCAGAAACCCAGGGCAGTTCTACCCTGTCCTATGATAGGGTCACTAGGAGTCTGTATTGACTCGTACAGCAGTGAGAAGATAAGACTTTTTCTCTTAATTTATGCAGCCGGTCTTATATTTTTAGTGTCTGCTGCTGCTGTCGGGACAAAGATGAGGCTTTATTCGCCCAGAAAGAGTTACACTCTCGGAAACCCACAGGGGTGATTCTGCCCTGTCCCATCGGGTGGCCATGAGTTGGAACCAACTCTATGGCAGTGAGGTTGTTTTGTTTGTGTGTTTATTTGTTCGCTCTTGCTGTTTTGGGTGTTGTGATCGAAGCATTGGGCTGCTAACTAAAAGGTCAATGGTTTGAAGCCACCAGCCACTCCTCGGGAGCAAGATGAGGCTGTTTGTCCCTGTGAAGATTTACAGCCTCAGAAACTCTTAGAAGCCTGTCCTACAGGGTGCCTAGCATTGGCATGAACGTGATAGCAGCAGGTTTTTGTTGGTGGTGCCCATGCTCTGAAGGTTGGCCAAGTTGAGGGCTCAGAGGAGCAGTCTCACCAACAGTCCTCCGGAATGTGTCTCTTATGTTCGCCCACCTAGTCCCAAGCCCTGCTTCCTTTATGCCTTCTCCAACTTGTTCTCTTGGCCTTCCCCAAAAGACCACAGCCTCAGGCAGAGCCATTAGACCACGTCCTCATTGACCTCGGCTGTCCTTGGGGCAAGACTCACGTAGATTTTAGAGCAACAGGTGGAAACAGAGCAGACCTCCCAGTGGAAGAGTTAAACAGACATTCATAGATTCACATACACCAGGTCTCCTCACAGAAATATCACACAGGTGAAGACACACACACACACACACACACACACACACACACACACACTCTCAGCAAATGCAACTTCAGAAGCCAGATGTTCAGAATCAGTGTCCTCCTGTTCATTCCAAGGTAACTTAATTTTTTAAATGCTCTACAGAATTTTGAGCTCCCACTTAATTATAACCCTAATCTGATAACAATTATTTCTTAGAATATGGCCCTACACGATACTTGTCCAGATGAAGAGATCCCTGAAGATATGGGTGCTACATAGCAAAGTGTGGTGAAGAAATCAGATGGTGCCTGGCTATCAAAAAGAATAGTGTCTGGGGTTGTAAAGGCTTGTCTTCAGAAAACAGCCATCTAAGTGAGGTGTCAGCTAAGTCCACGTGGAAAAACACCAGCCTATGTGATCCATGGAGTGTCAATAAAATCCAAGACAGGAGGAGGACACGGTACTAAAGCTTAAGTTCTGAACACCCGATTTGCTGAAGACGTGGATGACAATGAAAACCCAACTTCATTTGCAGGGAACCCATGCAGATTAAGCCTCTGTGGACTTCTCTGGCCAGTGACCAGGGATGTGAATACCATTGTGAGCAGGCAGCGTGCATGGGAAGGTGGCCTGTTGCAGATGTAGTTAAGTTAAAACCCAACCCTTTATCATTGGTTCTCCCTTTTGACCCATTTTTCATTGGTTCTAGTTTTTATTATGTTCTACATTGTTTTCTTTTTTAATCATTTTATTGGGGACTCATACAGCTCTTACCACAATTCATCCATCCATCCATTGTGTCAAGCACATGTGTACATTTGTTGCCATCATCCTTTTCAAAACATTTTCTTTCTACTTGAACCCTTGGTATCGGTTCCTCATTTTCCCCCTCCCTTTCTCACCCTCCCTCATGAACCCTTGATGATTTAAAATTTATTATTTTTTCATGTCTTACACTGACTCATGTCTTCCTTCACCCACTTTTCTGTCATCCATCCCCCTGGGAAGGGTTATATGTAGATCATTGTGATCAGTTCCCCCTTTCTCCCCCCACCTTTCCCTTACCCTCCTGGTATGACTGCTCTCATTCTTGGCTCTGAGGGTTTATCTGTCCTGGATTCCCTGTGTTTCCAGCTCTTATCTGTACCCGTGTACATGCTCTGGTTTAGCCAGATCTGTAAGGTAGAATTGGGGTCACGATAGTGGGGTGGGGGGAGCATTAAAGAACTAGAGGAAAGTTGTATGTTTATACTGCACCCTGACTGGCTTGTCTCATCCTTGTTCTGCATTGTTTTCAATTAAGGTTTATTCCCCTCTGTTTTGTTATTGTTTGGGGGGGGGTGTCTCATTGTCATTGTTTGTATATTTTTCTTTCCTGGAGGAATAAACCCACCCCCAAAGTCACTGCCCTGGAGTCATTGCCGACTCATAGTAACCCTGCAGGACAGGGTACAACTGCCCGCTAGGTTTCTGAGACGGCAACTCGCCGTGGGGTAGAAATCCTTCTCTTTCTCCAGGGGAACTGCTGGCGATAGTTTCGAACTGCTAACCTCGTGGTTAGCAGCGTAACCCACCATGCCATCCCGGCTCCTGCCTTAAGAACAGATGTTTGCATTTAACCAGCCCCATATCGAGATTTGGATCCACAGAGCAGGGGAAGTTGGCTCTGATAACCCCAATAAACAATGTCCCTGAGAGAGTGACCGTCATGGTGAGTAGACTAGACAAGAAAGTATGCCGATGCCAGAAAAGGTGCCAAGGAATCTGAGCTCTACCGTGGACTGCCAAAGGAACAGACAACTGTCTGGGAAGCACTAGAGCGCGTTAAAAATGAGGATGGCGATTAAAGAGTTTCATGTTTAAAAAAAAAGGAAAAAAGATGAGGATGGTAGTAATGACTTTGTCTTTCGTGAATTTGACGTGTTATCAGAAGGACCAGGCCCTGGGGACGGTCACCAGTGAGCAAGACAAAGGCCCTCAAGGAGATGGAGCGACACAGTGGCTGCAACACTGGGCTCAGGCAGGCGATCATCGTGAGGCTGTGTTTGGTTTTCTTGTCCAGGGGGGTCTGTAGGCGTGAGAACAGACTTGACTGCACCCATCAACAAGCTGGTCATAAAATAACATCTGTTTTGAACCTGCAGCGCTCAATGAATATGTGCTGAAGGAATAGCACCAAATCCCAAGTCCCTAGGGCTTGTCTGCAGCCGAAGTTTCCCTGGCCCGAGTTCATCCTCAGAGTGTGTCTGACTCCCTGACTAGATTGTCAATGGCTCTGGGCCAGGGACCCGGCTTATTCTACTTTGAATCCCATGCACGCCTCCTAAGCAGGACTGCTCACCGGCTGCATGTTGAGCTGAATCAACTCTAGGAAGGCATGCAATTAGTCCGCCAGCTCCACCATCAAAAAGCCCCCTCCATCCCGACCACCAGGTGCCAGTCCTGTGCTCTCCCACCTTCTCCTAGCGTGGAAGGCTCCCCAAAGCTGGGGGGTGGGCGGTGGGGGCAGGTTGGGGACAGACCTCTACTCTGGGTGTTCACTGGCGTGGCACGTCTGAGAAATGAGCCCGTTAGAATTGGAGGCACGTGCGTA